TTAAGATTCACCCAGTGTGCAGTAAAGGAAGTAATGTCCCTGCCCATGTTTATTGAACCACTTGTTCATGGTCATGTGCATCCTGCTGCTGAGAGTTTTACCAGCATCATAGAGAAATATTTTAGGACACTTCTTACTCTTACAGCTGCAGAATAGACAATTGCTATGGGAAAGATGCTGCTGGAGACAGTGTGGTGGGTGTAGGAGAATTCTGCAAAGGTTCAAGACTTAAAGAATATGTAAACCCAATATTTTATATTCCTGATATGTGCCTGTTGTACCATGTACTTTTATGAAAAAGTATCCTGTTCTCTTTGTATTGCTTCTTTTGTGTGAAATCCCTGGTGTTCCTGCCAGTCTCTCTGCTTATCTAATAAAAACTGACCATACTAAGTAGGAGAACTTACACCATGGTCAATGAGCTATGTCTTCTCTCCTCCAATGAACTGACCTGACACCCCCCCCCCCCACCTTACCCTACTCCACACAGCCATCTATTTGTATCCATTTGGATCAGTGTGCTGCTGTTTCTCCTCCCCCAGCTCTTATGCAGCTGAAAGCAAAGGGCATGTGATCACATATAAAAAGGGGGAAAAAAGGTATTTATAATGTTTGTTTTATACATAGACACAAATGTTTTGCCTTTCATTTCTATTTTAAACTGAGTGGGTTGTTTTACAAAGTGATGGTTTACAATCACTTAACCACTAGCCTACAGGGCACTTATACCCCCTTCCTGCCCAGGCCAATTTCCAGCTCTCAGCTGTCACACTTTGAATGACAATTGCGCGGTCATGCAACACTGTACCCATATAAAATTTTTATCATTTTTTTGTGACATATAGAGCTTTATTTTGGTGGTATTTAATCACCTCTGGGTTTTTTATTTTTTCTTAAACAAACCAAAAACCGCTGAAAATTTTGAAAAAAAACACGTTTTCTCTTAGTTTTTGTTGTAAAATTTTGTAAATAAGTGATTTTTCTCCTTCACTGATGTGCGCTAATGAGGCTGCAGGGATGGGCACTGATAGGCTGCACTGATGGACACTGATAGGTGGCACTGATGAGGAGGCACTGGTAGGTGGCTTTGATGGGCATTAACAGGCATCACTGATGGGCACTGAAAAGCGGCACTGATAAGTGGCACTGAAGGCAGCTCAGATGGGCACTGATATGTGGCATTGATGTGCACTGGTAGGCACCGATATGTGGCATTGATGTGGCACTGATGGGCACTGGCACGTGGCACTGTTCAGCACTAATGGACACTGACAGGTGGCACTTCCGGGGCCACACTGATCATCAGGGCACACTGATCATCAGTGCCCTGATGATCAGTGTACATGTCCCCTCCGCGGAATGCCGATTACCGGCTCTCCTCTCCTCTCGAAGCTGTCATTGTGACAACTCGTGAGGAGAGAAATGCCGATAACCGGCATTTCCCTGTTTCCATGTGATCAGCTGTGATTGGACACAGCTGATCACATGACTGAGCCGACATCTTCGGTGATCCGCTGTGTCCAAGGGAAACAGTGCACTGCCGATTACCGTGCTGCACGCTCCCTGAGCATGAGAATGGGAGGACGTCATATGACATCCTCCCAGAATGAGAGAACCGCCTTGCGCCCGTCATTGGACTATATGGCAGGCAGGAGGTGGTTAAACTTGACAGATGCAAGAAGTAAAGAACAAAGTGGAGGAGCACTGTAAACCTTTTGCTGCAAACTTGTTTCATTGAGGTACTGCTCCCTCTGAACTCTGTGGTACTGAGTTATGTGTTCCTCCTGCATGTGGTAACCAAACAGATGAAACATTTTGGCATAGCTGATATGCTATAGGCAGAGGCTGCATACCACAGCAGTGTTGTTGGCAGCAGATACAGCTCACTCTATAGAGATTTGTGTACTGACCTTGGGAATAGCAATGGTTTGTACCTCTCATATAATCTTTTGGACATATGCTCTCTCCCAGTATTTTGCAAGCTGCCCCTAAACAAAATCCTCCCTCACTGCTGTTCTGCCTCTTACTAAGAACTTTCCTCCTCCCTAAGCAGTGGCTTGAACAGTCAGTCTGCTACCTCATCATCCAACCCTTCTCACCTCTGGAGACTACTTTTCAGTAAGTACCAGCTGCTGGAACATCACTGCCTAATGCTGCTCTCTGTCTGATGCCCCCTGGCTGCTGTGTGTGACTCAACCCTCCTCTCCCTCTATGGTCATAGACCTGTCTTCCTTAGCCTTAATATCTGAAAAGAGGAACGCTTGCACCTGACCCAGATCTTCTTCCTGCAGCAAACCAGCAAATGTATGGTCAAATAAGACCACCTAATCCTCATGGCCATTTTATTGGGTTATTTTGGATTACCAGGAGAGAAAAGGTGGACACTTACAGACAACTGGCTGCTCTGCACCTGGAGCCACTTAACTACCTCTTGCTTGTGCTGTAGCTGTATTGCAGAGGTCTCCAAACTTTCTAAACAAAGGGACAGTTTACTGTCCTTCAGACTTTAGGGTGGCCTAACTTTGGCTGCTGGAAGTAGAAAAGGTCCTGATATCAATGGGAATAGACAATGCCCCATCTTTGGTGTCAGAGGGAGGAATAGTGCCCCAACATTGGTGTCAGTTGGAGAAATTGTGTCATTTGGAGGTTATTGTGACCCATCATTACTGTTGTTGGGCCCCATCGTTGATGTAATTGTGAGGAATTGTCCACCATCACTGTTGTCATTGAGCACGATCATTGATGTAATTGGGACATATTGTGTCCCTTCATTGGTGTTAGTAGGGGGAATTATGTCCCATTGTTTGTATCAGTAGATGACATAGTACCCCAAGGGCTGGATAAAAGCAAGCAAAGGGCTTCATCCGGCCCTTGAGCCACAGTTTGGAGAACACTGCTATATAGTATAGCCACTCTGTGATAAAAAAAAGTAGACAATACGTGGCCCGACCACCATTTTATCCTGAAAAATCTGCTTGCCCCCCACCACCTCCATATACAGAACCTCTGCCTCTCACTTTAGGCCTTCCTGACATTTTTATTTGTAATAAAAGGGATTACTTAAATTTAATGGAAGCTGTAGGCAGAGTAAATACAGTATGTGTTTGCTTTGGTACATATTACTTTAGCGCAGTGACACGCTGCATACAAAGGGTAGCTTTGCTTGAGTCAGCACAGTACAGTATATGCTGTGCAGCCCATAATAAAAAAGACCCTAGCAACACAAAATCAAATAAACCTTTCCAAAAAATATAAACCCTGAAAAACTAAATCACAGCCCCCCAAAATGTTGTGTTAACCAAGCAGAAAATAGTAACATAAACCCGTTAAAAAAAATGGATAAAAAAGCATATGTACCAATACATTTTTATATAGGCTGTGAAGAATAAATGGGAAGAAGGGAAGGCAACATTTGTACGTAGCCTTATCTTTAACTTTAAGTCTCCAACATTTGACAAAAATATAAATATCAGTTTTGGGTGAGATGACCCTTTGAAATCCATGCTTTTTTGTGTGTGGCAGCACAGTGGCTAAATGGTTAGCACTTCCACCTGGCAGTACTAGGGTCATTGGTTCAAATTCCAACCATGGCACAACCTTTGTTGAGTTTGCATGTTCTCCCTGTGCCTGCGTGTGTTTCCTCCCAAACTCCAAAGGCATGCTGGTAGGTTAATAGGATCCTGTCTAAATTGTCCCTAGTATGTGAATGTAAGTTTAGATTGTACTCCCCTTGAGGGTTAGGGACTGATGTGAACATTCAATATATATGTAAAGCACTGCGTAAATTGACAGCACTATACAAATACCTGTAATAAATAAATAGATGTACGCTTTAACATATGAATGAGGGCAGGAGATTTCCGGAAACCTAGGAAAATAATAGGTTGCACACCAACGTAATACTGAGTGCTATATTATTGCAGTCTTAAGTATAGATATGACTCATCTTATACAGACACCTGGGACATTCTCTCTTTTCAGCCTTCTGCTTATATCTCATTATTTTTATCTCTTCTATACTGTTCTTTTGTGTTACACATTTTTTCCAGTTTTCCTTTGTATACACAATATCCTCTGTCCTCATAACATAATGTTAACTGTAAAAAGCAAGTCTAGCTCTTCCTCCCCCCTTACCATGTACATATTCACGTTGAATGCTAACTAATTTTAGTACCTACAGTATTCTTGTATTATAGTGGAATTCCACCCTAAACCTAATCTAATGAACTCTCTAAACCTACTACCAACCCCATTCTAAGCCTAATCTATCTAACCTTGTAAAGAAAAGATATGTATACTTACCTATTCTGAAGCCTCTCTGGTCTGGTACCAGACTGAGCTGTCAGTGACGGCTTCTGTGTAGAGCAGAGGCAGCCAACAATGGATGTCCCATAGTAAGTCTATGAGTGATGTCATCTCCTCTTCATTTTCCATCTGTTGTTGGCTTCCTCTTTCTACACAAGAGCAGACCAGAGCAGCTTCAGTAAAGGTAAGTGTACACATCATTTCTTTATAGGTTAGAAAGATTAGGCTTAGAATAGGGCTGGCAGTAGGTTTAGAGTTAGTTTAGGGTGGAAATCCACTTTAAACGCAACTCCATTGAAAACAATTCAAGTGTATCTGAACCCAAAAATATAAATTAAATACTGTATATTGCAGCTTACCAGTCCTTTGGTGAGGTGGATGCAATAATTTCCTTCTTTCCTTTATTTTCACCTGGTGATCCTGCCAGTAACACACTTCCTGTTCTAGGGTGACGACACTCACTCACCGTACTGTATCCATTAAGGAGCAGTGTTGTCATCCTAGGCTACACTCCTTTTTCTTCTCTCTATTTGTACTTGAGTTTGGATATGTTATTTAGTATTAAATTGCAGAAACAATTATCTGTACACTGTGCTGTATATTACACCACTCCACTACTGTATGCTACATCACACTTCTATGTCTGTGTCTTTCTGTCCCAATAACACCCTCTCATTACTTCTTCTCGTGTCACAAACAGGGGCGGACTGACCATTTGGAAACTCGGGCACTGCCTGAGGGCCTGGGTTCAGTAGGGGGCCCCATGAGATGCCCCTGGTACCTTTTTCATAGGCTTTTTTGAGTTTGGGCAAGGACACAGGGGCCCCATGATCCCTATTGCCCAGGGGCCCCATGAGTTGTCAGTCTGCCCCTGGTCACAAACACATATGGTGGGGGAAAAAAAACGAAAAAAAAACCCGACAGTGTTTATAACCTTTCCCTACGGTTTCCAAATCTAAAAATAAAAATGGCCTGAACTTGGACTGTGTGATTTTTTTTTCATTATGTTTTTCTTAGGGATAGAATTTTGTTATACATTTTAGGATAGTTATATTGATATTATTTAGCTTACTTCATTACTATGCAAGATCTATGCTATTCTATTTATTTTTTGCCTTTTGATTGAGTTCGTCAAATTTCCGGTATGCATTCAATTAGCTTGTGCAGTCTCTCCATTGTTACTGCAAAATAGCAACTTTGAAACATGCTTTGGGCAATTTTAAATAAAACTTTTCATTATTATATTTTCTTTCCCACGCTCAAATGCTTATTCAAAGCAGCTTCTTACAATCGCAACTTCTTGTTTAACTTTAGTTTGTTCACAAAAGCATGGTCCCAATAGAGATGAGCGGAACACACCTGGGCATGATTCGAGGCAGGTTCGCAGAACAATAATTAAGTCTGGACGTTAAATCCGAACTCAATTGAAATCAATGGGAGCAGAATGTTAAAAAAACAGCAATGGCTATATTGTAGGCTAGTAGAAAAATGATTGTCAAATAAAAGACCTGTAGGGCTGAGCAAAAAAAAAAAAAAAAACATTTAATGAAATTCAGCTGGGAGGATCAATTTTAATAATGCTTTAAAGTGGTTGTAAACCTCAGACATTAAATATGAACAAAGCATATCCCTCTATAGTGTGTATTTGTCTCAATCCAGAGCATTAAGTATAATTTCTGTCTATTGTTTAATTCCTCTGCAATCTGCATGAGTCACTTCTGGAAAGTTTTCCTGACACCAAGAGAAAAAAATGGTGAGGGGGAGGGATCTCTAGCAGACTGACAACCTCAGCTCTGTTCCTGTGTGTTCTGTGGAGGTGGGTCTGTCCCTTCTCTCCAACCAGCAATCAGAGCTTTCCTCACTGAGCTCTGCAGAGTGTAATTTCAGCTCCCTGTCTACTGTTTTTGGGAAGCCTAGACAAGCTTTTTAAATTTTGGACTTTGAAAAGATGTAGAGAACAGAATACTGCAGATAATTGGGTACAACTTAGGAAGATTTGTTTCATCTCTGTGCATCACCTGAGGCTGGTCACTTCACTGGGTATATGTAAGAGTTTACAACCACTTTAAGGGCAACATTAAAATGGGTAAATTCTTCTAAATGTTATATGCCTGGAGGATGCCACTAAACTACCCGTGAAGTAGCTCCTCAGTACCATTTACAAAGAAAAAAATGCAATTGAAATTGCTGCCAAACGATGGCTTTACTTCTGCAAACAAACAACTGACTTCTGTAAACAAACAGCTGAGGATTCCCTTCACCAGACTGTTAATGGGGGATGCCATGGTACACATTTTAAGGGATAAGCCCATGAAAAAAATGGGAGAGTTCTGCTAAGCATTTTAAGGGAGAACCCCCCAAAAAAACAAAAACAAAGTATAGGGCCCCCCCCCCAAAACTTAATATCAGTCCCTTAGCTGAGCATGCAAACTGGCAGATAGGACAAGGGCAACCCTGGTCTTGGTCTGCGGGTGGGAGGCTTATTGGAATTTGGAAGACCTACTTTGAAAAGTAAATCATCACACTAAACAGTTTTTGACAAGTCCTTTCCTATCCCACACTGTAAATCCATTGTCAATCACGTAGTCCAGCAATGGAGACCCTGGTAAATCCTGATGAAAGCAAACAAAGAGTCTGTACATGATGTTTGGCTCCTGCCAAGCAAGTAAAAAAGTCTGGGGTCTGGATGAACACCCAAAGTTTGGTCCAAACTCGTGTTCAAACCGAACTTTGAGCTCAAGTTGTCTTTCCATGTATACAAAATGGAGGACTCCATCAATATCAAATTAACTCCATCAAGTATCAAATTAGCGACACATTGAAATGCATATCAAGCTGCTTTTCATTTAGCAAAGGTGATTTCCAAAGTTCTGAGACAGATTTAGTGCTAAAGATGCAACAGATTTTTCAGATGCACAATTTAGAAGTGGCCAGGGTCAGGTTTCATTCTGCTACAATGCTACTAAGGGTGGAATTTACGACTCAAGCTATAAACTTGCAATACATCTGTCACTGCTTTAGAATTGGATTGCTGTGTAAGAGAATTAATAAATGCTCTCCAGTGTATGTGAAATGTACACCAGAATTAGGTATCCTTGCAGATCGCTGTTGTCAGGGATCCCCTCGATCCCCGCCGCGTTGGTCCCGGCGCAGGCGCAGTATGCCGCCCGGCGCAGGGACTCGAGCACTGGTTCCGGGCCGGCCGCGGCGTTCGAGTTCGCGCATGCGCAGTAGAAGCCACGGCCGCCCGCTGGGCACCAATGGCAGCGCAGGGCGGGATATTTAAACGACCCTGAGCTGTCATTCAGTGCCTTCTGGTCTTTCCTGCATCCTGAATCCTGTGAACCTGTACCCTGTAAGTTATTGACCCGGATTGTACCTGACCTTGCTGTTTCTCCTATTCTGACCCTTGCTTTGCCTGACCTCTCTCCTGAATGCCCCCTATTGGATTTGACCTGCTGTTGCTGACCTGGCGTGTGACCCGACCATTCTATGCCCGCTGCCTTGTACCTTGCCGCCCTCTCTGTTACCGACCCGGCCCGTCTGACCTTGCTCATCCATCCATCCATCCCGTGCAGCGGGGTCTTCTGACCTCCTCACATCAGACTCTTCCCCGTGGGAGCCCCTTGCGCATACTGCTACCACTGACGGGCGCACCCAGTAGCCACGACCTGGTCTCAGGGAGCTCCAAGTCCATCCCCACCATCAGGGGCTCTGGTGAACAAGCACCCTGGGACTTAGACTCCGTGCGCTGGGGACGCCTATTCAGTGGAGTGCTAGTAGTACCGCCGGGCGGTCCCTTACAGCTGTAAAGCATTAAAATAAGGTTGGCACCACAGCTGGATACATCCTGGCACTTTATTAACCAACTGTTAGACCAATAGTGATTCGTAGTGTTGTTGTGTGTTTTCGACAAGTTTGTCCTGGTTTGAAAAAGGACATGTGTCCTAAATGCGTATTAATGCTACAGATTGATGTTGCTTTTAAGATTTGGTTAATAAAATGGTGAGTTTTATCTAGCTGGGGTGCCAACCTTCATTTCAAATTTTACAGCGGTCAAAGACATAGAATGAAGTGACGACCAAGCAGTGGTGCTGAACGTCAAATGAGTAAGCCGTTTCCTGTTTGTCAGTCCGCCCCTGTACAGTACATATATATATGCTGCGGTTTGCTAGTTGTTTATGACTGGTGGCTTTTAATGAAAACGGTTGAATCGGCTCTCAGAAGCGGTGAGAAGGGATGCCCCCCTTGCCACTCACCGGTGTTCTTAGGCTTTCCGATTCAACCAGCATGCCCCAGAAACGATCTGATGATGCGGCTGCCTGGTCACAGAGGCAAAAAGAGACCAGATCGTCTCTGATCACCTCTATGGCCTTGTAAGACCGGAGCAATGTCATGACAGCACTTCCGGTCTAGGGCAGATGTAAGCAATTTTATTTCAAGATCAAAAAAATATTTTTTTGATTTTTTGCTTTTAAAGGTAAAGGAGAGATTTTAAATCATATTTCTATTACAAGAGATTTTAGATCTTATTTCTATTACAAGGGATGTTTACATTCCTTGTAATAAGAATAAAAATCATCTAAAAAAAAAAAAATGAAAGGGACAGTGCAAAAATAAAATAAAAAAAAATAAGAAAATGTTTTAAAGAACACCATCCCCTCCATGCTCATGTGCAGAAGTGAACAAATGTGTATGTTGCGCATGCATATATAAATGGTGTTCACAGCACACATGTGAGATACGGCCGCGAACGTTAGAGCGAGAGCAATAGTTCTAGCACTAGACCTCCTCTGTTACTCTAAACAGGTAACCTGGAGATTTTTAAATACCTTAGTTTGTCACCATGCCATGAGCATGTGCAATTTTAAAGCGTGACATGTTAGGTATCTACTTATTTGGCGTAACATCATCTTTATATTTTACAAAATTGGGGTATATATTGTGTTTAGTTTTTTTTTAAATTAATAAAGTGTTTTTTTTTCCCAAAAAATTGCCTTTGAAAAGCTGCTGTGCAAATACCAATTGCAATGATCACCATTTTATTCTCTAAGGACTTTGCCAAAAAAAAATAAATAAATAAATAAATATATATATATATATATATATACACATATATATATATATATATATATATATATATATATATATATATAAATATATGTTTGGGGGTTATTAGTATTTTTCTAGTAAAAAATTACTGATTAATTTTTCTAAAAAAAAAATAATTTAAACAAAAAGTGCAAAGTGATGCAAATACCTCATCCTTAGGAACACCTGGTTAATTGCTACTCTTGAAGGAAATTTGGACCAAATATGACAAATGAACTTCAAATAACAGCAATGAATATAGTCAATATTGACTCATGGTTTATCATTTATGGCTTTGCCACGTGTCACTTGAAATTCAGAATCCATACTCTGAATTTTGGTGTGTATAGATATGAATAAGATTACCAGAAGGGATTCTCCTCCGGCTTTCCAGGAATGACCTTTTATGCACAGCAGAGATTTCTGTGTCATCCTCTCAATTACTGAAATCTATTGCTTACGGTTAGTGCAGTACTCTTATCTCCAGCCAGCATGGAAGTCAGTGACAAGTTATGGGAAACGTGCTTTGCTTAGTCTATAGGAACATGATGTATGATACTTTTGCAGGAGGATGCAAGACAGAATGTTCCATTCCATTGCCCTGCAGCATGTCACCTGCATAAAGAGTGCCTCTAAATAGATGTTCTCTAAATGAAATGATGACACTACGAAGGACCAGCATGTCTGTGGGATATGTTTAGTGATTAGAAGTTATGTTGCAGCAATTATAAGAAAACAGCAATGGGAACAGACATCTCTCTGCCATAATGTAACCCTTCATTTATTAAAATAGATGAAGGTTTCTCAACATACACATCAAAGTCAAATAACAGTGTATAATATACCAAAAAACTAATACAACATGATAATGGAAATAGAGAAGTAAAGAACCATTAGTTGAGTCTACTTAGTTCTCAGCATGCTCACCGCATAAAGTATATCCTTCTATGTGTGTGTACTTGTCTCAATCTAAAGCACTTAGTGTGATTTCTAGACTTTCTCTCCTCTCTGCTATGTGCATGAATCACTTCTGATCATTTATCCCTATACCAAACAATCCTGTGAGATGGACCCACCCCCTTCCAGCACACAGCGGGTGATTGACAGCCTCAACTGCGGCAGCATTCTGACACTGGAGGGAACTGACTTGGTGTAACTGACATCCCCAGTGACACCAATACAGTGATCAGTGCTAATAAAAAACACTGACACTGTACTAATGGCACTGGGCAGGAAGGGGTTAACATGTGGGGTGATCAAAGGGTTAACTGTGTGCTGTGTACCATTTTACTTTGTGTCCTTTGTTAGTGCTTCACTGTAAGCACACTGCAGTGTGCCGGAGTTGACAGGGAGGAGAACTATTTTGATCACTAACAGTTGTCCCCCCATCCTCGGAAATCACCAGGTGTTGGCGAGTAATCACCAGCCGGGACCCAGTGATTGACAGTCGCGAAAATACCCGGAAATGCAAAATCACATATATTGGGGAGATTACCCTTCACTTCTGTCCCATAGCCAAACAGGAAGTGAGAGGAAATCCCTGCAAACAAAGGGAATATTTTGGGAACCCCCAAGTCACCAGAATTAAGTGCCCTTATTGGAAAGATTTCCCTCTATTACTTTTTTGGGGACAACCTAAAATGTGGGATTTTCTTTTACTTTTACTCTCAATGATAATGGTAAACAGCACAAATTGAGAGAGTGAATCTCCCTAATGAGACGCAAACAGCAAAAAAAACTGCCACCATAACAGTGATAGTCCAATATCAACTTAATGTCAATCTTGAAAACAAACACCCATGTGCAAATCCGACACTAGAGATGAAATGAATACACTCACCAGAGCTATATGCTGATTATATTATAAACCAGCATGATAGCATTTTGCTCTGGGACATCTGGCACTCCGCCCCTTGAAGACGTCAAGTGACGAAACGCATTGGGCCTGGCCTAGTGCACGTGACGTTGGAACGTTCCTCCCAGCTGTCGGCTGTGTTGATCGCAGTGCAGGAGGTTCGTCCCTTGGTTTTTCCCTTGTGGATGTGGCATTTTAGAGGCTGTCATTGCTGGTGTCGGCTAGACACCTTCTTTGTGAGTGCAATACTTTATTAATAAAATTTTACTGGTTTTAAACGTACTGCACCATCATATCTCTTCTTATTCCTCGAGCTTTGCCCATGTTATTGGAAGATCATTTGCTGCTTAGCTGTTCCATATGTGCTGCCTAGCTGTTCCATATGTGCTGATTGGATCACTATTGGTTGCTGTTCCTCTACTGGGATATCCTGCAGATCATCGCTCCCAGAGCAAAATGCTGTCATGCTGGTTTATAATATAATCAGCATATAGCTCTGGGGAGTGTATTCATTTCATCTAGTGTCGGATTTGCACATGGGTGTTTGTTTTCAAGATTGACATTAAGTTGATATTGGACTATCACTGTTATGGTGGCTGGACTTATGTTTATATTTATGAATTCATTTATTTTTATTATTTATCCTTGCATGTTTTGTGAATAATTAGCGCACTTTTTATTTGTACATCATTTTACCTTTTTTGGTTAGAGGTGCTGCTTATTATTTGATTTATTTTGCATTTTCTGTGGCGCTTCTTATATCTGCTACACAGCAATAAAAACTGACAGATATTCTAATCCATCTAATCAATGGCATCTAATCGCCCCTTTATCCAGAACAAAAAAGTTTTGCCTTTAGTTATACTTTAAATTGACAATTGTATGTAAAAAATACTTTTTCATTTTCTTTCCACGTTTTCCAAAAACCTGTGGCAAAAAAATTAAGTCTTCAAAAGACTCACCATGCCTCATAAATAATACCTTGGTGTGCTTACTCTCCAAAATGTGTTCATTTTGTGGGTGTTTTCTACTGTCCTGGTGCTCCAGGTCCGTCAAACATGTGATAGGTAGTAAGAAAAATAAGAATTTATGCCACAAGGAAGCCTAAAGGTGCGCCTTACATTTTGGGCCTCTCTATATTGGTTAGCTTGTGAAAAAGTCTCACACATGTGATATCCCCATATACGGCAGGAGTATGAGAATGTGTTTTGGGGTGTAATTCTATTTATGCCTTCTAGGTATGCTGGAAATATCTTATTATTTGACAGCTTTGTGTAAAAAATACAAATTCATTTTCTTTCCTGCATTTTCTAAAAACGTGTGGCAAAAAAATGAGAGTTTTAAAAGACTCACCATGCCTCTTGGGGTGTTTGTTTTCCAAAATGTGGTCAGTTTGTAGGTGTTTCTGTCTTGTCCTTACATTTGCACAGGCACTCAGGAAATATGATAGGTAGTCAAGAAATCAGGCGCATAATTTACGCTCCTTGAAAGCTCAAAGGTGCTCCTTGAAAGCTCAAAGGTGCTCCTTGAATTTTGGGCCCCTCTATGCATCTTGACTGTGAAAAAGTCTCACACATGTGGTGCCCATATTCAGGAGGCATAGAAAAATCTGTTTCGGGGTGTAATTGTAAGCATGCCTATGTGTGTGAGAAATAAAATACAGTAAAATTACAACTTTGTGGGGAAAAAAAACACATTTTTTACATTTGTTCATATTCCCAAAAATTGAGACAAAAAAATTACAAATCCAAAAATTCACCATGTATCTTATTAAATACCTCAGAATATCTACTTTCCAAAAGGGGTATTTGTACTATCCTGGCATTTTAGGGCCTCAAGAATTGGCAGTTAGTGCATCAGGATTATTTAGTTTTTAATAGTGTATATATACCATTTGTAGGCTCTGTAACTTAAAACACAAGCTAATTTATAAACACTGATTTTGGTTATTTTTACCAAAAAAAAAAAGGGAGCAGAATACATTTTGGCCTAAATTTTTGAAGTTTGATTATTTGTTTGCAAACTTTTAGAATGAAAACTATGAAAAACATTTTTTTTTTAAATTTTCTGTCTTTTTTCCGTTATATAGCAAAAAAAAAAAACCCCAGTGCTATAAAAAAAAATATAAAATTATATTGGGTACAGTTTTGCATGAGTGAGTAATTGTCATTCAACATGTGACAGTACTGAAAAATTACCTGGGCAAGAAGTGAACAGCACCAAGCCTCGCATTTACAAACTGTGATAAAGTGCTATAGCTTAATTT